CCTTTTTTTTTTTTTTTTTTTGACCAATAAGGGGATCGCAACCCTCGGCACAGTGTAGTCTGCACCACGCTCAGCCAGTGAGCGCACCGGCCATCCCTATGTAGGATCCGAACCCACAGCCTCGGCGCTACCAGCACTGCACTCTCCCAAGTGAGCCACGGGGCAGGCCCAACACAGTGCACTTTTTAAGTACCAGGTATTGGAAAGGCCCTTGGATACACTGAGACCCCATGCTAGAGAGTGAAGATGGAGAAAGTGACCACACCTGGCAATTCCTGGAAGAAAAAGCCTGAGGGCCCTGTTCCCAGAGTCATGGCAGCCTTCACCCACACTGGGAGATGCGCCACCAGAGGACACCCACCCTCTTGCTCCCAAGCTCAGCTTTCCTGTACAGTGTGGCAGGCACTAGGAGGAGAAACCAACAAAGCGCGTTGCCACTTCGATGCCCTTTTACAACACCACCCTGTCCACACCCTGTCGCCCCAGCCAGCCCTAGCATAGGGCTACAGCATTCTGCTCTTTCTTCTCTGTTTTAAAAGACGAGGGCGCTATACGTATCTCCCCAGCAAGAGCCTGATACAGGGACGGGGGCGAAGGTGGGGGGGTCATTTTTCTTGCCCGAGGTTGGCAAAATTTCCCCCATCCTCTTGCCCCGAAGGGACCCCTCACTTCTCAGCCCTGGACGGAGAAAGAGAAATGGGACCCGCAGATTTCTGTGGCCTCGCCCTGCGAACAAGTTTCCACCGGCTTGGCCGCCTGTACAACTGCCAGGGCAGGCGCTGAACGTGGACAGAGAACGTCTCTACATGCAAGGTTCTTGCACCTCGAGCCCCCTCCACGCTGACCCCGGATGGGTGGCCCCGGCCACTTACCCCACGACAGAAATCATCATGGCAGCCACTACTAGGTAGTTGGTCTGGTAGTAGAGCAGGTTGCTCACCACGCGGTTGTTCCATTTTGAAATGTCCGTGAAGTCCGGCCGTGAGAAGCGGTCAGAGCCCGGGAAGAAATCGTCCCAGGCGCGGAGTGGAGCGAGACTCACGTCCATGTTCTAAGCTTTGCGTTTTTCGCCTACGGAATCTGGCGGCGGCGGCGGCGGCAACCGATCAGCTGAGCTGGGTTAAAGCAATGACAGCGGTTCCGTCTCGATCGGCTCTGCGGTTAGCGAGCAGCAGAGCAAAGGGAATTGGAGCGGGCGGGCGCGTTTGCTCTTCTTTCTTTCTTTGATCGGCTCTAAGTAGTTGGTTACAGGAAAACAGGGGCCCCGCGACAGAGCAAGGGACCGAGTGCAGAACAGAGATGAAAAGATAGAAAGCAACCAGCGGAAATCCCCTGTCTGAAGGGAAATGACAAGGCGTTCTCTGGCACTCTGAATACAAACAGCCCCCTTCAAAATACCTTTTTTGAGGGTTTAACCTAGGACTGTATTCTCTGATTTAGAGAAAAATCTTGCAAACTGTTCAGATCCCAATCTAAGTGAAACGGAATGAAAAGCGACTAGTGTTACTGGAGGATGAGCTGGCTTTGAAAACTGTGTGACTAATTTTCACACATCTGAAAGCAATTCTCATGTTTTCTCTGTTTTACTATGAGTCACTGTGTGTGAAATCAGATTGGTAAAATGGGAAACAAGGATGCACAGAATAGAAGGACTGGTTTGTTTTTTCACTTCTCTTCTTTGTTCTCCATCTGTATTCTCTTGGGACAAAATTGTTGAACTACCTGTGCCATTCTGATAAAGTGATAGACTGCTCTGGTCACTTCAGCCTTAAGCTGGGCATGTCGATTACATTTTAAAGCTAACAATTGTCTGCAGTGAACTAATTCTTCTGCACTTAGTATTTACTGGGCAGAAACATGGATTCCATTCCAAAAGAGCTTTCTTAGTTTCACCCCAATACCTGGTGAAAATTTTCACTAAGGGAGCACAGTATTTTAATAGATAAGGTGTATCTCAGCCCAAAGAGCTAGCAAGAGATGTATTAATTATAAATTTTCTTCCAAGGTTCTAAAGAGCCATCTTTTTTTCAGTTAAGGGGATGGTTAGTACGGTAAACTCCTTTTATCTCAAATGCATGAGAAAAAAGTATTTTGATTTACTGCATAATGTGGTAGGCAGAATTCTAAGACAATAGCATCTAAGATAACAGTCTCTAAACCTGCAAGTGGTGCTATTTTAACAAACTAAATTCACTCTACAGAGTCGAGAAGATATAATTTAATTTTCCTTGTTGAGTCAGAAGGCAGTTAAGGAACTTAATGGTTACTCTCAGAAATTACTACTTCTACTGGTGTTTAGGAAAGTTTGGTGATTGAATCGAATCGGTGCAAACTAATGTATATGCTAGGTGCTGCTTTTGAAAAAAGAAATGTGAAAATGTTCCTGAGCCCTCACATTTTCTTGATTCTGGAAAAATGGGAAGGTTTAAACTTAGAGAAAGCAAAATTAGGGTCCCTGCTCCTCCCTCTCTGGCAGGTGATTTACAGGGAATTATTTAATCTCCCCCGCCTCAGTTTCTTCATGTGTAAAGTGGGGATAATAGAACATCTGCCACATAGGTGAGGATAAATAAAGGAAAGTATGGAAAGTGCTTAGTGTATACTAATTGTTCACAGTTAGATATTACTATTACAATTATTAATAACAGTACAGCCAATGATTCATCTGTATGGTATTAATAGTGCTGTAAATTGATTCATTTTGTATGCTTTTATAATAAACAAGCACTGAGTTTTCTCTGTCTTGCAATTTTATTGTTGTGGTTGTATCCGGGTAGATATGAAAGAGGAAAAAAGACTGAGAACATTTGAGTCCTTTCAAGGCTCTGTGAAAGACTGTGGAGGATAAAAAAGGGGAGAAGGATGCAGCCCTGCCCTGCCTGCAAGGCTCCTGCAATGCAGTGGAAATACTGCTTACAAATGAGACAGTAAGAGGAGTGCTAAATAGAGCTGCACTGGCCTCCTGCTCAGTTACAGGAAGTCAGAGGGTGTGGAGGAATTCCCCGAGGCACAAGAATTTCAAGAAGCAGCACTGTGGGCAAGCTGAGTAAATGATCTTCATCAAGACTAGGGTGGGAGCCCCAGGAGGGCCCCACACCTGTTGGAGAGATCTGTGAGCATTAGGAGCTATGAACAAGAACTTTCACTTTCCAGCTACTCAGAACTGCAAGACCAAAAGCTGTCAAGTGTGTATTAGCAGCACTATGATTACTCATTGATCACAGGCAATTGACAGCCAGTAAACATTTGTTCAGTGTGTTTTTATTTATTTGAATGAAAAAAAGATAAAGCTGTCCACAGCGTGATTCCTTTCTCCCTCTCTTCCAAAATATTCACCATGCTTCTCTCTCTAGTTGGATTATGGGAGATTTTCTTTACACATTTCTACCTTTGTCAGAAAGTCATTTTAAATAAAAATGAACACATATTGAGTTGTTACATTATTCCAGTTACTGTTTGAAATGCTATTAGTAGAAGCTCTTTTCATTATTCATTCAGGCGTGGAGGGTCAGATTCACTGTAGAGGTCTTCCTGGGGCTTTTATACCAGGACTTGTGTTTCTAGATAGGGCCACCCTGTTTATAAACCATAGTGAATAGTCTAATAGTTTATAACATGTTCAATTTAAAATGAAATAAATCTGTTGAAGATTTTGCTTGCATGTCTCTGTTGCTTTTTTTACTGGCAAGGGCAGGTGGCTATTTCTAATCAGTCAGTCCAAGCCAGTGAGAGAGCCTGGTGTCATCTATCAAAATACCACTGCAGTGAGTCAGGGTGTTAGTCCCAAGGTACGCAGATGCAGGGCCAGATGCCTTTGTAGATGTCTTCATGGGCTAGCTGTAGCCTATCCCTAGGCCTCAGTTTCCTCCCCTGTGAAATGGGTGGGATTAGACTAGATGATCCCTAAGGTGCCTGCTGGTTTTCACCACCTGAGGTGGCTGTGATGCTTTTTGCCACTAATCAAAGGGTATCTTGAAAACAGGGGGCCCAGACCACAAGAACCCATTTTGATAAGCAAGGATTTAACCTCAGTGGCTTCCAACTGTGGAGTTTTTTGGGCAAGAAAAAGAGGTCTCTGAATTGATGTTGAGACATGTGACCCAGAAAAGGGATGATGTCTCCTACTATGGACTGTACTCTATTCCTACACTCACTGCCTGGTAACTGACTTTCAGCTCAACGAATGCTATTGATTTGAATCTAATTAGGGGATCATAAAAGACAAGCCGTCCTTAAGGTTCAATGGAGAATAGGACAGAGATTAAATACCACAATTTAGTAACAGCAACTACATTTAGTGAGTACCCACTAGGCTTTATATACCCCATTTCAGTGGTTCTCAAACTTTAGGAGGACAGAATCACCCTCAGGCTTTGCAGAAGGTTGGGGGTGGAGCCTGAAAATTTCCATTGGTAGATTTTCGAGTGATTGTGATCAGGAACTATATTTTGAGAACCACTGTGGATTTCATTTAATTCTGAGTCTTACAAGGCGAATATTGTTATCCCTACTTTACAAGTGAAGAAACAGAAGCTGGCTGGCCAGTAAGCTCAGTTGGTTAGGGCTTGGTTCTGATAACACCCAAGGTCCAGGGTTTGATCCTGCAACTGGCCAGCAGCCAAAAAAAGGCGCCCAAGATCGCATAGTTAATAACTGTTGAGTAAAGATTTAAATTCAGTTCTTTCTGAATCTTACTCTTATCCCACTCCAAGAAAGGAGATGTATACACATACACAGGTTTGGTTTTTTGTGGTTTTTTTTTTTTTTTGTGGCTGGCTGGTAAAGGGATCAGACCCTGGATTTCGGTGTTATCCGCATTATGTTCTAAGCAAGTGAGCTAACCTGCCAGCCCTGTTTTNATGTATTAATTATAAATTTTCTTCCAAGGTTCTAAAGAGCCATCTTTTTTTCAGTTAAGGGGATGGTTAGTACGGTAAACTCCTTTTATCTCAAATGCATGAGAAAAAAGTATTTTGATTTACTGCATAATGTGGTAGGCAGAATTCTAAGACAATAGCATCTAAGATAACAGTCTCTAAACCTGCAAGTGGTGCTATTTTAACAAACTAAATTCACTCTACAGAGTCGAGAAGATATAATTTAATTTTCCTTGTTGAGTCAGAAGGCAGTTAAGGAACTTAATGGTTACTCTCAGAAATTACTACTTCTACTGGTGTTTAGGAAAGTTTGGTGATTGAATCGAATTGGTGCAAACTAATGTATATGCTAGGTGCTGCTTTTGAAAAAAGAAATGTGAAAATGTTCCTGAGCCCTCACATTTTCTTGATTCTGGAAAACTGGGAAGGTTTAAACTTAGAGAAAGCAAAATTAGGGTCCCTGCTCCTCCCTCTCTGGCAGGTGATTTACAGGGAATTATTTAATCTCCCCCGCCTCAGTTTCTTCATGTGTAAAGTGGGGATAATAGAACATCTGCCACATAGGTGAGGATAAATAAAGGAAAGTATGGAAAGTGCTTAGTGTATACTAATTGTTCACAGTTAGATATTACTATTACAATTATTAATAACAGTACAGCCAATGATTCATCTGTATGGTATTAATAGTGCTGTAAATTGATTCATTTTGTATGCTTTTATAATAAACAAGCACTGAGTTTTCTCTGTCTTGCAATTTTATTGTTGTGGTTGTATCCGGGTAGATATGAAAGAGGAAAAAAGACTGAGAACATTTGAGTCCTTTCAAGGCTCTGTGAAAGACTGTGGAGGATAAAAAAGGGGAGAAGGATGCAGCCCTGCCCTGCCTGCAAGGCTCCTGCAATGCAGTGGAAATACTGCTTACAAATGAGACAGTAAGAGGAGTGCTAAATAGAGCTGCACTGGCCTCCTGCTCAGTTACAGGAAGTCAGAGGGTGTGGAGGAATTCCCCGAGGCACAAGAATTTCAAGAAGCAGCACTGTGGGCAAGCTGAGTAAATGATCTTCATCAAGACTAGGGTGGGAGCCCCAGGAGGGCCCCACACCTGTTGGAGAGATCTGTGAGCATTAGGAGCTATGAACAAGAACTTTCACTTTCCAGCTACTCAGAACTGCAAGACCAAAAGCTGTCAAGTGTGTATTAGCAGCACTATGATTACTCATTGATCACAGGCAATTGACAGCCAGTAAACATTTGTTCAGTGTGTTTTTATTTATTTGAATGAAAAAAAGATAAAGCTGTCCACAGCGTGATTCCTTTCTCCCTCTCTTCCAAAATATTCACCATGCTTCTCTCTCTAGTTGGATTATGGGAGATTTTCTTTACACATTTCTACCTTTGTCAGAAAGTCATTTTAAATAAAAATGAACACATATTGAGTTGTTACATTATTCCAGTTACTGTTTGAAATGCTATTAGTAGAAGCTCTTTTCATTATTCATTCAGGCGTGGAGGGTCAGATTCACTGTAGAGGTCTTCCTGGGGCTTTTATACCAGGACTTGTGTTTCTAGATAGGGCCACCCTGTTTATAAACCATAGTGAATAGTCTAATAGTTTATAACATGTTCAATTTAAAATGAAATAAATCTGTTGAAGATTTTGCTTGCATGTCTCTGTTGCTTTTTTTACTGGCAAGGGCAGGTGGCTATTTCTAATCAGTCAGTCCAAGCCAGTGAGAGAGCCTGGTGTCATCTATCAAAATACCACTGCAGTGAGTCAGGGTGTTAGTCCCAAGGTACGCAGATGCAGGGCCAGATGCCTTTGTAGATGTCTTCATGGGCTAGCTGTAGCCTATCCCTAGGCCTCAGTTTCCTCCCCTGTGAAATGGGTGGGATTAGACTAGATGATCCCTAAGGTGCCTGCTGGTTTTCACCACCTGAGGTGGCTGTGATGCTTTTTGCCACTAATCAAAGGGTATCTTGAAAACAGGGGGCCCAGACCACAAGAACCCATTTTGATAAGCAAGGATTTAACCTCAGTGGCTTCCAACTGTGGAGTTTTTTGGGCAAGAAAAAGAGGTCTCTGAATTGATGTTGAGACATGTGACCCAGAAAAGGGATGATGTCTCCTACTATGGACTGTACTCTATTCCTACACTCACTGCCTGGTAACTGACTTTCAGCTCAACGAATGCTATTGATTTGAATCTAATTAGGGGATCATAAAAGACAAGCCGTCCTTAAGGTTCAATGGAGAATAGGACAGAGATTAAATACCACAATTTAGTAACAGCAACTACATTTAGTGAGTACCCACTAGGCTTTATATACCCCATTTCAGTGGTTCTCAAACTTTAGGAGGACAGAATCACCCTCAGGCTTTGCAGAAGGTTGGGGGTGGAGCCTGAAAATTTCCATTGGTAGATTTTCGAGTGATTGTGATCAGGAACTATATTTTGAGAACCACTGTGGATTTCATTTAATTCTGAGTCTTACAAGGCGAATATTGTTATCCCTACTTTACAAGTGAAGAAACAGAAGCTGGCTGGCCAGTAAGCTCAGTTGGTTAGGGCTTGGTTCTGATAACACCCAAGGTCCAGGGTTTGATCCTGCAACTGGCCAGCAGCCAAAAAAAGGCGCCCAAGATCGCATAGTTAATAACTGTTGAGTAAAGATTTAAATTCAGTTCTTTCTGAATCTTACTCTTATCCCACTCCAAGAAAGGAGATGTATACACATACACAGGTTTGGTTTTTTGTGGTTTTTTTTTTTTTTTTTGACCAGTAAGGGGATTGCAACCCTCCACACCGTGTGGTCTGCACGATGCTCAGCCAGTGAGCACACCGGCCAGTCCTATATAGGATCCGAGCCCATGGCGTGAGCGTCGCTGCGCTCTTTTTTTTTTTTTTTTTTTTTTTTTTTGTGGCTGGCTGGTAAAGGGATCAGACCCTGGATTTCGGTGTTATCCGCATTATGTTCTAAGCAAGTGAGCTAACCTGCCAGCCCTGTTTTCTTGAACAAATTATTTTTCTCAGTCCAGTCATCCAGACTCACACATATATACGTATGTCTGACTCTGGAAAAAAATAGTAGAAAATTTTATCACTATTTATCTTTAGGTAATGGGATTATGGTTCTAAATTATTCTTTTTGTGCTTTTTTTTCTCTATACTTTTCTTCTATATGCCTAAATATATACATTTAACCCAGAGAAAAAAGTTTTTGATTTTAGTTCTATTTCCACTGAATTTATGACAGAATGATGTGACGCTAAAATTTAAAACTGATTTTTCACAAAAAAGATAACAATCTCTCCATTCCACTCCTATAAACTGGTTTAGAAAATTTTATTCTTAAAGTGTGTACCTATAAAGGCAAAGATTTTGGAACCGTCCTGAAAAGTAAAAAGTGAAAATTCCCCTGATACTTTGCCGCAGAGGAAAGCTCTGGCATATTGGGGTGGTTCTTCCGGGAGTTTCTTCGTAGAATATACCAACATTTCAAGTAAGTATTTTTAAATATATAAATTGTATAAACACCATGCATCGAGTCTACCTTTTCACGCTGCATTAACACGCACTCAGTATAAGATTTACTTAACCAGGTGTACTTAAGATGTTACTCTCACGGAAATGCTTTAAACGCTGCAGGAGCCGCAGCAGTCAGCCTCGTCCCGCCCCGCCCCTCCGGCCCCGCCCACCGCAAGGGCACCTGGGAAGAGGCGGAGAACAATATGGCGGATGGCGAGGATCCGTAAGTACCGGGGCTTTGCAGGCGCGCCGGGTTGGGCTGTGAGAGAGCGCGGCGGAGGGCGGTCACCGCCCCCACCTGGGGTCCCCCCACCTCCCGCCCCGTCCCCTCGCCCCCCATCCCCTCGCGGCGCCCACTGCGTAGCGTGATGCTGACCCTTCTTTTATTCTCTCTTTCTTTTAGGGAGAAGAAAAGAAGGAGAATAGAGGAGCTGCTGGCTGAGACGTTAGTGCTGCCGGGAGGCCGGGGCCCTCTCCGGGGACCCCCGCCTCCCCCCACCCCAGGCCTAGGGGGCCAGCCGCAGCGGGCCCGGGGGGCTGGGAGGGGGGCACCCGGAGCGCAGCTCCTGGTCTCTGCCCTGGGCGGGCGTCGGGGTCGAGTGCACCGCCCCAGGTCCTGAAGGGGCCTGCCGGGGTGCCTGACCTAAAGGTCTTGAGGAGGGAACCTTGCGCCCCCCTTTTCCTCCATCCCAAATTGTCACAGCCGTGACTTTGTGAAAAGGAAATCCACCTTAAACACACATGAAATGTACACAACGCCTTTTTTTGGCCTTTCGTAAACACTGAGACAATAGTACTATTTGCAAACTTTTTATGAGACTCTATATATCAGTATTGTACTAAGCACTTCAATCATTTTTGCAAAATAATTGGCTCTTAAGGGAGGATGTTGATCCCAGACAGCTTATTTCCCCCACTTACTACACACCCTATTTCTTATCCGATGCTTAGTTTTGTACTGGTGCGACAGATTTAAAAAACGCCACATAATTTCCCCTCCCACGGAGGGAAATACTCTTGCAGTGAGTGTGGTGAGTTCGTAATATCTGTGCCAATTCCCAGTCTCAGTGCTTTGGTCTTCACGTATCTCTCTCAGAAAGTTGAATTTCAGTTGCAAGAGAACTGGAATGACAAGCTTAATTTCACATTCCTTCCCGCCTTTTATTTCCTTACTTTTGCATAAAATGAGAGCTAAAGTGTGAATGCTCGGTATATACCAAATTCTGTACTAAGTCCCCCATGTGGATTATATTTTTATCCTTATGACCTTAAGAAGTAGCTACGAACAACTACAGATGAGGTTTATGGCTGTTAAGTAATCTGTTTAAGGTCACAGTGCTGTTGTGGAACCAAACCCAACTCTGACGTCAAAACCTATGGTCATTATTGCTAGGCAATACTTCTTGGTCCCTTTTGTAAAAATTGGATATTACCAGTATGCTGAAGATAGAATTTGTAGGGTTATAGGAAATTAGAAAATAAAGAATGATCACAACTAGATATGAATCTTGCACTGAGTAGAAAATACGTGCATTTTGTTAGAGGAGTCCTGCCTTGTTCAGTTGTATGTTCTAAGAGTTCTAGATAGTAATGCCTGTGGTGGAATTGTAACTTAAAACTTTGAGTTTAGTGGTAACAAAAACCACCTCACAGTATTAAGAAATTCTTTTTGAAAATTGTGACCTCTATGTCTGAGTAAAATGTGTGAAAGGACACAGTAATAGTATTAGATTTCAAGCTTTACAATTCTTAAAGTGTGTGGGTTTTTTTCCAGCCTTTTTCCTGCTGCAAGTGTGTTGAAGGATCAGGTTGGAGAAGTTTACAGTGATCTTTTGTAAATACCAAATGTGGAGAAGTCCATTTCTTACCGATAGACCAATACCCCAAGTCTGATCTTAACCCAGAAATATGTAGACTGATTTATTTCATCAGATGGATGAAATGAAAAAAAGAATGTGCAAATCTTACTTTTAAATGAACAGTGTAATAGACAAAATTTTAGAGAAGAATTTTAAAACATAAACAGAATCACATTGAGTATTTGCCTTTTTACTTGAGCAGGTCTGGTGTGGTTACCTTTTCACTTGGGGAAATCATAATAGGTGTAGGTGTGGCTTTTTCATACTGATCTTGCAGCTGAATTTACTGTGTTCTGTGCAGAATGGCTGTTGATGGTGGGTGTGGGGACACTGGAGACTGGGAAGGTCGCTGGAACCATGTTGGGGACACTGGAGACTGGGAAGGTCGCTGGAACCATGTAAAGAAGTTCCTCGAGCGATCTGGACCCTTCACACACCCTGATTTCGAACCGAGCACTGAAGTGAGAAACGTTTATTTTTAAATAACTGCTTTAATAGTTTTATGTTCCAAAAACAGTAAAATGCTTCCTTTTTGATTTGCTCATAATGAAAATACTAATAAAATTGTTTTGTTGAACTAAATTATCTTGAAACACTAAATTGAATATTTACAACTAATTTTATTTGAATGACTAATATTTGAGTCATTATTTTCACATTTCTCATGTAAGTTGAAAATTTAAGAGAAAAATAATTTCATAATCTCATTTAAAATTCCAAATTTAAAATTCCAGTTTAAACTGTTTTCTGAGACATTCCCCTTTTGTAGCCCTGCTGTGAGAAATTAATTTTGATAGGAATATAGATATGCTTGTTTAAATTTTGAAATATAGTTGGAATAAACATCTTTACTTAGCATTGAATATAATTAATTGCATGTTAAAAGTAATGTGAGGGCCGGCCCGGTGGCGCACTGGATAGTGCGCCACTTGGGAAGCGCGGCGGCGCTCCCGCCCGAGGGTTCGGATCCCACATACAGACCGGCTCCGGTTGCGATCCTGTTGCCGGTCCCCGGTCCGGTACGGGGGCAACACTGAGGGTTGCGATCCGTTGCCGGACATGGAAAAAGACAAAAGACAAAAAAAAAAAAAAAAAAAAGTAATGTGAGTACCGTATAATGGAGGCATAGAATTCTGGACTGATAGTGTCTGACTTAAAGTAAATGTTCAATTAGATATCTCTTGTTTTTTATTACAAGGTAGAAAAACATTCCTTATTGTAAGTCTTCGTGTTCTTTTGTGCTTACAAAGAGGAATTATTTTGAAATATATTTTGCTATTCCTAAAAATTAATGTACAAACTCTTGGGTTTGGCCCAGTGTCTCATCTGAACAACTTTTCTCCCTTAATATTCTTTCTTAATATTGGACAGAATTGACATTAATTTTGCCTTCTCTTTGGATAATACACCATATTTTCTTGTGCCTCTGAAAGTTTTTGCCTGGTAATTTAAGATCATTACCTCTGTTAAATAATTACTACAAGTTTTATTCTGCTGACAAGGAATTTTCCAAGAGTTTTATCTATTTTTTCTGTCATCTCATGTTTTTTAAAGTTTTGTTCACTGTACTCAAAAGCAGCTATTATTGTTCTTACCTTATTTGGTGTTCAGTACTTGAACCTCTGTCTTTTAAGATTTTTAAACTTTTCTATTTTTAAGAAATCAGTTAAATAACTGAATGATGCTTTTCATTCCCTTTTGAAAATTAAAAGAAAAAATAACTAGGGATAGGTTTTTTTGGTTGTTGTTTAAAAATAGCCTTTTAATTTTATACAATAAAAGTCAATTTAAAAAACATTAAAATTAAAACTCTGAAATCATTAGGGTTTTGGAATTTCTGGTTCTAATTCATAAATTTAAAATAATTTAACAGAGTTTTCTCTTTATTTTTAATTGCATTTTTCCTGGAAACACCAGAAATGTTTTATGGTTTGTTGCTTTATTGATGGTGCTTATGGTTATCACCCAGTTTTAATATGCTTTTTCATTCTTTACAGTCTCTCCAGTTTTTGTTAGATACATGTAAAGTTCTAGTCATTGGAGCTGGCGGCTTAGGATGTGAGCTCCTGAAAAATCTGGTAATATATATAAAAAATACGTATTTTTTCTCCTTTGTGATAAGTAAACCTTTTTCCTTTTCTGCCATACTAGGAAATTTCTTTATTGTGATTATTAAACTTTTCTTTTGAGCCTTTGTTAGATAAGTTTAGCAGGTCAACTTCCAGACTAATAAAAATGATGGTAAAAAATGATGGTTTTTAAACTCTAAACTTCTCAACTATAAAGTCATTGATAGAATTTCTTACTTCTGCTTTCTTCTCTGCTGCTTACCAAGCAAATTTTGGTGTTTCCTTTTGCATAGTGCTCATTAATTTCAGTAAAGTAAATAGCAGAACTGTTAATTCATATTTGAATGTGTAGTTTCAAATAATTTATTACTTCTTTTGCTTGTGGGTTCTGTGCAAATTGTGGGTCGTCATGGCCTCTGTCCTCAATGAATTTGAAGTTTCATTGGGGAGACAAGTCTCACAAGAAATAAATAGTAGTATGTAACATATACTCCAAGGTGGAGTGCCAAAGTGACCGTACCTTATCAGACATAAATACTCTAGCAGTGTGAGAACCAAAGACTTCTAGAAGGGAAGGGTTTATCAAGGACAGGAAGTGGTTTTTGTTAAGCATTATGTATGTACAAGTCCCCTAAAGCTTAACTTTTTCCATTTTGAAGCCATTATTTGCAAATGTGATATATAATAATTTTAAATGTAAAGTAATTGAACATTAGATCTGAGAATTAGTTATCAAGCAACTTTAAGGAGTAGCCCTGTTATTTATTTATTGCATTATAAGGTTTTCAATTTTACCACTTGTTACTTTATTTCAGATATAAGCATATAGGAGATATACATTTTTATTGATTGTAAGCCCCCGCAAGGCTCATTCTAAAAAAACAAAAAAGAGTATGACATTAACATTATTGATTGAGCAAATATTTATTGAGCTTCCTCCTCATATGCCAAGCACCATTTTAGATGATAAAGATAACAGCATTGAGCAAGACAGCTGTTTGTGTTTGTGGGGCTCACATTTTAACTGAAGGAAAAAGACAAGTAAAATACTTGGATATAGTATGTCAGATGGTAGTAAATGACATGAAGAAAGGAAGGATGGAAGATAGGTAGCCTGGTGGGAAGAAAAAGGGTTACAAAAAGATGTTATTTGAGGGGGCCAGCCCGGTGGCGCACTGCTACAGTGCGCCGCTTGGGAAGCACGGTGGCGCTCCCGCCGAGGGTTCGGATCCCACATGCAGACCGGCCGCTCACTGGCTGAGCGAGGGGCTGGAGCAACACCGAGGGTTGCGATCCCGCGGCCGGTCCTGGTCCGGTACGGGCGCGACACTGAGGGTTGCGATCCGTTGCTGGTCACGAAAAAAGACAAAAAGGAAAAAAAAAAAAAGATGTTATTTGAGGAAAGAAGTGAACAAATGAGCCATACAGATATCTGAAAGAACATTCTAGTCACAGGGAACAGCAGATGCAAAAGCTGTGGAGTGGGAGCATGCCTGTTTGTTCAAGGAGGCCATTACAGAGGTGAGTAAGGGGAGCATTTTTGGAGAGGATATCAGAGATGTAATGGGAAGTGGAGGGTCTCAGAGGGAATATCACAAAAGGCCTTAGGGGCTACTGAAGAACTCTGGCTTTTATTCCGAATCAGGAAGTCACTGGAGAGATTTAAGCAGATGAGTGATTTGATTGACTTTTAACCTGGACACTGTGGCTGATGTATTGAGAATAGTAAAGGAAGAGCAGAGGAGGAAGCAGAGAGACTAGTTAGAAGATTGTTACAGTCCTCTAGACAAGAAATGACAGTGACTTGGAACAGAGTGGTAGCATTGGAGGTGGTGAGAAGCAGTCAGATTGTGGATATATTTTGAAGACGGAGACAACAGGATTTGCTAATGGATTGGTTTTGTGATATCAAAGAAAGAGAAGGGTCAAAGATGACACAGCAGGGTTTTTACCCTGAGCAACTGGAAGGATGGAGTCACCATTCACTGAAGTGAGGAAGACTGGAAAAATAACAGATTTGGTGCTGGTGGTGAGCGAGGGTGATCGAATTTGGTTTTGGAAACTTAAGTCTAAGATGTCTGTTAGGTAGTTTATCTTAGAAGATTGAGATCACCAGAACCTAGCACAAGGGTACTCTAAATTCTGGCCAGTAAAGTAGGAGGAAAACGGAGTGAACTGGAAACCAATTAAGAAGTGTTTAAGTTTTCAAGAGTGTGGTCACCAAGTGAAGAACATGTTTTAAGGAGGAGGAAGTGATCCACCCTGCCAAATACTTTAGAAGGTAAGGTCAGATAGACTGAGAATTGGCCCCTGGTGTTAGCAACGTGGAGGTTATTGGTGACCTTGACAAGTGCAGTTTTGGTGGAGTGGTGGGTGCGAAAGCTTGTTTGGAGCTCACTCAGATAGAAATATGAGAGCGCAAGTATGGACAACCCTTTTGAGGATCTCTTGCTATAACGGGGGCAGAAAAATGGGGAAATTATTGTCAAGTGATTTGGTCACTTAAGTAAACTGACCAAGACCACAAAAGCATAATTAGTTATTGAGACTTTTTTTTTTAGTCTTTTGCTTCTGCTGGTAAATTTGAGCAGTGGTTGTACTGTTAGAATACATGGCATTATTGAAACTCGATAGGTTTTGTTGTTTTGTTTTTGTTTTTGTTTTTTTGCCTTTCCTTACCTTTTTAAATTGCTTGCTTTTGCCTCAGTACTTCGGAGATATTCCTTTTATATGTGCAGTGTACATATGTGTGTATTTATAATATATATCTTCTACCATTTCTGAATTCTGGCATGCTTAATGTTAAGTAAACTAAGATAAAGCTTGTAAGAATTGCTTTTAACAATATTCTGAAAAAATAATAGCAGATATAATTAATTAGTAAGACTAGTAAAATTAAAGTATCCATTAACAGCAGCAAAGCAATAAATTTTACAAATGTGTTTATGGAAATATATCTATATATTAAACAACTTTAACCTCTAGGAATTTTGAGTTGTCATCTTTTGATCATAGACTATTTAATACTGAATGGTTACATATTTTTGACCTTTACAAGAATCCTGAATTTTTTATACCTTGCAAGACTCTGTTTAGCCGCTGAATACAATTATGCAGAATCTATTACTAAGAATTTATAGACTTAGGACTACATTGAAAACAAATCTTAAATTTTTGAATGTGAGGAAACTTCTACTCAATTGAATTATTTTTATTCCTACAGGCATTGTCTGGCTTTAGACAGATTCATGTTATAGACATGGACACTATCGATGTTTCCAACCTAAATAGGCAGTTTTTATTTAGGTAAGTTTTAATATCTTAATTTTTTTTTTTAACTCAGATAATCATTTGAACTTGAGTATATTGCAATTTAATAATTTTTAAAAACTACTGAGAGGATAACACTAATTTTATTTAAAGAAAATAAAAAAAACAAAACTACCACTCCTATTTTAGGTAAAATTTTGCAAGAAAATTTTGGGCATTTTGGTGAAAGTAGTTTTGTAAGCAAATAATATATTTTTATTTTTTTTAAAGAAATCTCCTTCCAAAGATTTATGTGGTTTTTGGGAACATCGGTGTGATTGTGTCCTGAAGACATGAAGTGCAGCTCTTTTCTTTCTGTTGATTTCAGAAAAGAATAGTAATTGGAATATTGGGATCTAGTGAGATGTATTAGTAGGGACTTGTGAGCCAAGATTTAAATGGTGACTCTAGAGCAATGAAATTATGAAGGAGTTTGAGCTTTTTATACAAGGGCAAAGAAAATGGAGAGTTAAGGAGAGAAAACCCAGGACCAATCGAAATGAAACAAAAAGCGGATTAATTACCTTGGACACATATGAAATGCAAAAAGCATCAAGAAATGGTTTATTAGACTTTTAAAAACTGGAAGAAGGGCATATATGCAGACCTGAGAAAAGATTCATTCTTAAATTTTAGTACACGGCATTTAGGGGTTTGAGTGGCTTAGATAAAAGTGTGTATTTGTTAGTCAAAGAATATAGATGAGACATATGGATATTTCTTCTCTGTAGTTATTGGGGTACTGACAGAAAGTGCTCACATAGTCCTGGGTATGCAGGATAAGGTTGAGCTAGAAGAAAAGATAACATTAAATTTTTGTATAGACATAAAACCTCTACTTTATCTTTGTGGAAGATCTAGACTGAAGGATGGATTAACTAAGTCAAGTTCATAAAGTGTTATAATTGCAATGTGACCTCTATGTTTAACTGATAAGCTTTATTTTTTAATTTTTAACCCTTGACATTTCCCTTCTTTATAGGAAGTTTGTGGACTTAAAATAAATTTTTAGTGGATGAATATTCTATAAAAGTTACTACTGAATATATTGGTTAGTGATAACAGACCATGCCCTTTGATTTGTGGCTAAAATGGTTGAAGTTAAAGATGGTTAACAATTTTTGAGTGTTTATGATGTACTGAGCACTTTCTCAACTCTTTATCTCTATTACCTAATTTCATCTCAGAGCAACCCTCATGGTCTTGTTTTCTAGGTTAAGTAATTTGGGCAAGGTGTACTGAAAGGATGATGTGTCGAAAGTCCATTTTATTCAAACAGTCTTAGGTGGAGCATTCTGACCCCCTAACTAACCCTAAGATAGCAGTCTCCACAGAAACCATCTAGGCGTTCTTTTGTTTGGGATCTACCGTGAAAGCACATAAAATACATACCTCAAAAGAATCTTAGAAGTTTATTTTATTTCCTCTACATGCCTAAAGAGCTCTCTTTGTGCATAGTTGAATGCAGCACTAAAATCAAGTTCTCTGATTTATAGCAGGACCTTTTCTATGCAAGTTAGGACAAAGTGAGAATAAAACTCTTATCGGAAGTTTTGAATCAAAAACGAACATTGCTTTATTGGAATGAAGAAAAATTGACCTGTTAAATTGTTCTTCTTTGAAATTCCAGTTTAAATTAAAATACATTTTCTAAGAAGCACATTCGATTTGTTATTTTCATTTAGTTTTAAAGTGTTTACTCTGCTAGATACGAAGGAATACAAACAGAGTAAGAATAGAGGCATTTTCTTCCAGGTGTTAATGGTCTAGTGAGTAGGATAGGCATTTATATAACAAAAAGTGTTATGAAAAAAGTAATAGTGAAGCATGTATGTACATGTAATCACAAAGACTGATTTATTACTGAGAGGAGAATAAGGAAATACTAGGAAAAAATACTGTTCATACTGAGGTTGGAGAGGGAATTTGTGTTTTTTTCCTATTTATGGCTATGGTTATTGTCTAGGAGTGTCCTTTGGAGGCTTTATATTTTTAACTTCTTGAAAATATTGGTAACAGATGGAATTAGGTAATACCTTTGGAATTATTCTTTCTAAAAGCACGGTTACAGCTTCTTAAGGGGCACAAAATTTACTACTTACTCAGCACACACAGAAAGGAGATAGTGAAGGTTCTTGCATCCCTAGAATGAGTCTCATTGTGTATATTTCAGCCAAGACTGCATAGTAACTAACACCTTCAGGTTCTGGGGTTCAGGGTGGAAGGCTTGGAAGGATCTGGGTCTGGGATAATTTTTTTTTTTTTTTGTCTTTTTTCGTGACCGGTGAGGGAATCAAACCCTTGGCTTGGTGTCACCTGCACCGCGCTCAGCCAGTGAGCGCACTGGCCATTCCTATTTAGGATCCGAACCCGCGGTGGGAGCTTCGCTGCGCTCCCAGCGCCGCACTCTCCCGAGTGCGCCACGGGGCGGCCCCTGGGATAATTTTTTACACTGAGAAACACCACAGTGGGAAGTGGCCAGGAAACATGCCATTATTATGTTTTACTTGGAACAAAAAGCACCATTCATATTTTCACTTGAGAAATAATTATACTTGTCCTGTTAGTTTGGACCATCAGCAAGGGTTGGCATTTAGGGTTGAATGACTAATTACTCATCAAAAGTTATTACTGATAGAAAAATACTTAGGAAAGAATAGTCTTTCAGTAAATAAACACTGTGGATTTATTTTTATTGAAAGTAAATTATATAGATCATCTAGATTTATATTATGAATGATAATTTAAATATAATTTTTCCTGTAGGCCTAAAGATGTTGGAAGACCTAAGGCTGAAGTTGCTGCAGAATTTCTAAATGACAGAGTTCCTAATTGCAATGTAGTTCCGTATCCTTTTGACAAAAAAATTATTTAATTTTTTTAAAGCTTTTGGTTTTTTCTTTATTTTTATAAAATAAATGTTTAATAGAGAATACAGACAAGGGGAAAAAAATCAGCAGCAGTAACCTTATTACTGAGATAACTGCTGATAACATTTTGCTTTATAGCCTTCCAGTTTTTATGGTTATATAATTTTTTTTTTTGCCTTGATTTTTAAAGTAAGCTTATATAGCCTATGCCATCATTTACTTTTATTTTACATTATTGCCCTTACTTCTAGTATCAATTAATTGCATATCTCCTGTACTAGACAGTAAGTTCCTAGGCTGGATCTAGTTGTTTTTTGTGTCTCATTATAGTAGAAGACAGAGTAGACAGTCAATATATTATTAGCCAAATGGAAGGTATGTCAGAGTAAATTTATTTTTTTTACAAGAATTAATGGTTTTTAAAAAGCAGTTCTCACACTCTATTGTGTGAATTTAGATCTGGAGGACACTTGGTATTTTATAGGCAATCAGGAGGTGGGGTTTCTATGTAGGAAATCACATGGAGTACAAAGTCAACATGCAAAAATCAATTGTATATTTCTATATACAGTGTACTAGCAGTGAACATGTGGAATGTGAAATTTAAAATACAATGCCATTTACAACTGCTTGAAAAAAAATACCGTACTTAGCTGTAAAATCTAACAAGATAAGTACAATACTTGTATACTGAAAACTGCAAAATGCCAATGAAAGAAATCAAAAAAGATCTAAGTAAGCGGAGAGAGAATTCTGTGTTCAAGGATTAGAAGATTCAGTATAGTAAAGATGTTCTCCCCAATTTTGTATACACGTGTTGTAACACAGTTTCTATCAAATCCCAACAAAAATTTTTTGTTGATATAAACGAGATTATTCTATATAGATGAGGTTATTCTAAAATTTGTATGGAAAGGCAAAGGAATACCTAAAACAGTTCTGAAAAAGAAGAATGAAGTAGAAGAAATCACTCTCCGATTTCTAGACTTATGAAGCTACAGTAATCAAGATGGTGTGGTGTTGTCAGAGGGATACACACAGATCAGTAGAACAGAATAGAGAAGCCAGAGATAGCCTCATGAAAGTATGGCCAGTTGATTTTTGACAGGTGCAAAAACAATTCAGTGGAGGAAGGATAGTCTCTTCAAATTGTACTGGAGCAATTGGATATCCATAGGTAAAAAGATGAGTCTTGACTTAAACTTCACATCTTATACAAAAATTAACTCAAAATGGATCATGGGTGTCAGTATGAAGTGTAAAGCTCTAAAACTTTAGAAGATAACATAGGAGATCTTTGGGACATAGGGCTTAGTGAAGAGTCCTTAGACCAGGTCGGAAGCATGATACATAAAAGGAAAAAATTGTTAAATTGGACTTTATCAAAATTAAAAACTTTTGCTCTGTGAAGGAGGACCCTGTTAAGGGGATGAAAAGATAAGCTATAGACTGGAGAAGATACAGGTAAAACAGTTGGTGAAGGATCACATCTAGACTATACAAAGAATTCTCAGAGCTCAATAGTAAAAAATTCAATTAAAAAAATGGACAAAAGGGCCAGCCCGGTGGTGCACTGGATAGTGCGCCGCTTGGGAAGTGCAGTGGCGCTCCCGCCCGAGGGTTTGGATCCCACATACGGACCGGACCGGTTCCTGCTCACTGGCTGAGCGAGGCGCGGGAGCAACACCAAGGGTTGCAGTCCTGTTGCCAGTCCCCGGTCCGGTGCGGGGGCAACACTGAGGGTTGCGATCCGTTGCCGGACATGGAAAAAGACAAAAGACAAAAAAAAAAAATGGACAAAAGATGTGAAGTGATATTTTTACTAAAGAGGATGGCCAAAAGTACATGAAAAGATGCTTGACATCAAATTAAGACAACAATGAGATACTACTATACATCTATTATACTAGCTAACAGTGACAATATCAAATGCTGGTGGATGCTTGACATCAAATTAAGACAACAATGAGATACTACTATACATCTATTATACTAGCTAAAATAAACAACAGTGACAATATCAAATGCTGGTAAAGATATGGAAAAACTCGGTCATTCACACATTGCTGATGTAAAGTGGTATAGCTATCTGGAAAATAGTTTGGCCGTTTCTTAAAAATCTAAGCCTACACTGATCATACCACACAGTAACTTTGCTCGTGGGCATTTATGCCAGAGAAACGAACACTTCTGTTTGTGTAAAACTGCATACCAACTTTCATAGCAGTTTTGTATGTAATAGTCCCAAACTGGAAACAACCAAAACTTTCCTTGATAGGTGAATTGTTAAACTGTGGTACATTCATGTAGAATACTACTGAGCAATAGAGAGAGATAACTAATGAAACATGTAACAACTTTGATTTCAAGGGCATTATGCTGAATGATAAATGCCAGTCTCAAAAGGTCATATACTACATGATTCCATGAATATAACACTCTTGAAATGATGAAATTACAGAGATGGAGAGCAGATTAGTGATTGCCAGGGATTAGGCATGGGGGTGGGGATTGGTATGACTATAAAGAGGTAGCAAGAGACAGGTCTTTGATAGAATAACTGTGTATCTCGATTGGGGTGATGGATACACAAATTTACGTGTGTTTAAACGACAGATATGCACACATACAGTACCAGTGTCCTGTTCATGATTTTGAATACTGTACTATAGTTATGTAGATGTAGCCATGAAAGGCATATACATGGGACCGTTCTGTACTGTCTTTGCAACTTCCTGTGAATCTATATTATTTCAAAATAAGTTTAAAAATGCAAATACAGGCCACTGTAGGGAAAAATGAAAAAAAAAAAAGGGGTGGTTGTGGTGGGGTATTTACACTCTGTCTACTCCCATTATTTATAGCTGGGAAACTTTGGGTATTTTGTAGAAATCTGGGAGGTGGTATTTCTTGGTCTGGCTCCTGGTTCCCCTTTTGCTTGCTTTGTTTCTTTTTTGTCTTTGTTATAGCTGTGGCTTAGGTCTCCTGCTTGCCTAGCATTCAAAAGGAATAAAGATCAGAATGGGTGAGGGCTAGAATTGGATTTATTTGTCATAGCTTTGGGGCAAGAATTAAAAATCTAGGGCAAGCATATTATTTCTCTTCTCTATGTTGCTTTTAAAAAATATTTAATGGACTGTTTATCTTAATTTTAGAGAAGCTGTACAATTTATATTATTAAAACTGCTCCATTAGAAAAATCAAAATAATTTTTTGCATACATATACAATTAAAATGTTAAGTGCTATGATTGATTTATTCACACCCACAGCCATCTTTGAATGGGGTTCCCTTCGCAGCCTCCAGGCACAGGAAGACTGGCGATAGGGTTTGGCAGGGTAAAAAGACTTAAACTAAGTTCAGTTAGAGAGGTACAAAAAATTCATACTCCCCCTCTCCCCCTAAATAATAAAATCATTAGCAACTGAAAAAGCTATTGAAATTTTCTGTTTTTTAAAAAATTAGCTTTGCAGTAACTATTAAAATCACTTAGCTAAATAGGAACTATAATGTGCTTGTTCCCTTTACTAAACAAACATATTGCATATCTTCTTGGTGCTCGTGATTAAGAATACACACATTCTAGGGCTGGCCCGTTAGCTCAGTTGGTTAGAGTATACCTCCTAACAGAGATGTAAATACTAGTATAATAACATGGGAGTAAAGAGATGAGAAAAACTACTCTAAATAGGGGAGAAATGGTAGAAAAGTGTTGTCAGAAAGTAGGGTCAAATCTTTTTAATTCTACTGCATTGAACACTGATTACTTTTTTGTTGTTGTTCTAATATACATGTATAGTTTGTTCCTTATGGCATTGTTAAATTCATTTTAGAAATTAAAAACAGCTTAAGTTCCTTTACTTGTATTCAGACATTTCAACAAGATTCAAGATTTTAACGACACTTTCTATCGCCGTAAGTTCACTCGAAACCAAATCTCACTAAATTCTTAGTTTTTTAGTTGCTAGCTGTTTAAAGATTGCTAGGTATTTGAAGAGTATTTCTTTAGTTGCTTTCCTCTCTCAGTGTTGGCTTTTCAGTAAGGTTGTTGAATAACTGAAAAGAAAATGCCACTGTTTAATTCTTCGATGACCCCACTAACTGCATTTTTCTGTGCTAACTTAAGAATTACTCAATGATTAGGAGCTCTGAGTTTGTGTGTGTGTGTGTGATTATAACAAAAAGTGCTTTTTTTGGTTTGTTTCTTAGAAAATGTGAATTATTTTGTGCAACTGCCTTTCAAAAATTAATAAGCTTTATTTTTTTAGAGCAGTTTTAGGTTCACAGCAAAATTGAGTAGAAAGTATGGAATTCTCATAGAGTTCCCTGCCACCACACGCGCACAACCTTCCCCACTATCAACATCCAGTACCAGAGTAGTACATATGTTACAGTGGATGAACCAACATTGAAATGTCATTATGCAACTGCATTTTTAAAACTAAACTTGCTTTTTTTTTCTCCCTCATAGAATTTCATATTATTGTATGTGGACTGGACTCTATCATAGCCAGAAGATGGATAAATGGCATGCTGGTAAAGACTTTAGTGTTGTTATGGTTCCTGAAGTTCTTGCTGCTGCTCTTAACATACTAAAAATTAAAATTACATGTCATATTTTTGAAAAACCAGAGTTTATTTCTAATTTATTTTGAATTAAGTAGATGTACTTCACTATTTATTGCCAATCACTGGTTTTCAGATGAGGACACATGTTAGTATTATAATTCCTTGATTTGATATATTAGTACTCAATAGCACAGCTGACTCAGAATTACTTGAAACCATGCTCTTTTTTTTTAATTCTTACTCTCTTCTCCTTTTAAACCCTGCAAATCATTTTCCTAGATATCTCTGCTAAATTATGAAGATGGTGTGTTAGATCCAAGTTCCATTGTCCCTTTGATAGATGGGGGGACAGAAGGTTTTAAAGGAAATGCCCGGGTGATTCTGCCTGGAATGACTGCTTGTATTGAATGCACACTGGAACTTTATCCACCACAGGTAATTAAAAAAGCACCTGCATATCTTTTATAGTATCTTGGGATGGAATTAGGGTTGAATGATTAAGTCTAATCAATATTTAGGATTTTTAATTAGGGTCAATCATATTTTTTAAATTATGCTAAGAAGATAATAAAATATGAAGTTCTGCTGTATTTGAGGAAAGATACGTACTGAATATTATAGTTCTGATACTTATTCCATTTTAATACTTTATTCGTATTAATATTTGGGGAGTAGGGATCAAGGGAAATTACAAAGCTGTATGTTGGAATAAAGCTATAATCTATTTGTTTTTCACCTATACTTATTTCAGGGAAATAAGGATACCAGGGATGAGAATGATCTTTCCAAAGATGGGGTTAATTAATCTATATGTCCACTTTAAAAGACAGTTGAGATTTTGAATTATAAATATATAAACAGTTTCGTGAATATTTACTTGGAATTCATTTAACTGTGAATTTGCTTTTGTTTTGGTTTGTTTTATACCTTCAGGTAATATAACATAACATAAACATAACAAGGTGTTCATTTCTTTTTTTCTCCTGGTCTGACAAAACTTAGATTTATAGTCCTTATAAATGTAGGGCAAACTTTATGGGCAGGTCAATCTCAGTGAAGTGACTCATGCTCCTTATTAGTTTTAGAAGCATTATTAATGATATACAATGTTTTGCTTATATAAGTGGAGGGCTGAATTATAAGAAAACTAGATCATAACTGGAAGTTGCATTTAAAAATAATTCATCATTTAAAATTTACTAAAAAAGATGAACTGTGATTTTAGGTTAATTTTCCCATGTGCACCATTGCATCTATGCCCAGGCTACCAGAACACTGTGTTGAGTATGTGAGGATGTTGCTGTGGCCTAAGGAGCAGCCTTTCGGAGGTAATAAACCTAATTTATTAACCCAGAATTACAACAAATATATTTTTTCCATATTATTCACTTGGATAATTTCATTAAAAAACACACCACAGGTTAATTTTCCCATGTGCACCATTGCATCTATGCCCAGGCTACCAGAACACTGTGTTGAGTATGTGAGGATGTTGCTGTGGCCTAAGGAGCAGCCTTTCGGAGAAGGAGTTCCATTAGATGGAGATGATCCTGAACATATTCAGTGGATTTTCCAAAAATCCTTAGAGAGAGCATCACAATATAATATTAGGGGTGTTACATACAGACTCACTCAAGGGGTAGTAAAACGAATCATTCCTGCAGTAGCTTCCACAAATGCAGTCATTGCAGCCGTTTGTGCCACTGAGGTTTTTAAAATAGCCACAAGTGCTTACATTCCCCTTAATAATTACTTGGTATTCAATGATGTAGATGGGCTGTATACATACACATTTGAAGCAGAGAGAAAGGAAAACTGCCCAGCTTGTAGCCAGCTTCCTCAAAATATTCAGTTTTCTCCATCAGCAAAACTACAGGAGGTTTTGGATTATCTAACCAATAGTGCTTCTCTGCAGATGAAATCTCCAGCCATCACTGCCACATTAGAGGGGAAGAATAGAACACTTTACTTACAGTCAGTAACCTCTATTGAAGAACGAACAAGACCAAATCTCTCCAAGACGTTGAATTTTTTTTTTTTTTTTTTTTTAGGGCCAAAGATGCTTTGAGGGGAGTAACTGATAAGTGATTCTAGACAGTGCCATCCATTTGAGGTTCACTAAAGATACTATGGAAATAATAGTTTACAGGTGCCCCAAAGTAGAGGGGAACCAAGAATCCATACCACTACTAAGCTAGAAGGAATTTAATAGAATAACTTAATCTTATTTACTTAGGATTGGAAGGCACCCTAAATCATCCAGGTAGAACTATCTACTTTATCTTTCACTAAAAGGAATTCATCACCTCTTAGGGGCACTCTGGTTCACATTTGGACAAGACTTGTTAGGCAATTATTCTATATATTGAGCAGAAATCTCCATCTTCACTTTGATCTGAGTATTATCTTGGTAGTATATATAACCTAATTCCTTTTTAAGTAATGCCTTTAACATACTGAGGACAGTGATCACGTTTTTTCTAAATTTTTATCACTGCCATAAACCTCCCTATTTCCTTTAACCCTTTGATACTTCGCATGGCTTCAAGTCCTCATGTAGTCTTCCTCTAACCACATTCCAGTTATCCATACTTCTCTTGACTGTCTAGGCCAGAATGCAGCATTCTAGGATTGGTCTTATTTTAGATAACAGACTTCTGATTATTGATGCAGTCTTAGAGGACAGCAGATTTTTTTTGTTGTCATTTGTTTATTTGTTGTTTACATTGATGCCATACTTTTGATTCTTTGATCTTACTGTCCACTAAAATTTGGGTGTTTTCTCCACGTATGCAGTTGGTAAGCCACTCTCCCTATTTTAGACGTGGCAGTTTTGAGAGTGTTGTTTTGTTTAATATCCAAGTCTTGGATATTAAAGGACCTTAGAAATTTATTCTTAAAATTCATCCTGCTGTTCTCTTTCTATATATATTTTTCTGTCAACTTACCTAGTCTTTCCAGCTTCATTTCACCTGTTGTTTTGATCATCATCTCCTTTCTTTTCCGGATAATTGATTGAGGTTTTTAACAAGACTGAACTGAACTTTCTCAGAACAGACGTCTGAATCATACCTCTGGTCAGGCCCTTTTAGGTTTATCCCATTCTATTAATCAGACCTTCCTGACTACTTCATATTTCTTTGCCTTGTTCACAAGGAGACCTTTCTAGATGCTCTACTGAAGCCGAGGTTACACTCTTCCACATTTCCCTGAATTGCCAAGCTGGTCATAATAACTAAATGAGGCTAGTACAACATGTCTCAATGAACAGTCATGGTGATCAGTGCTTCCAATCTAGTTACAGTTTATACTTCCTAGAATTTTGCTGAAGATCATCACAAATTTACTAGGAAGAGTTTTGTTTTCTTTCTGAAAATCTCCCATTTCTCTTCTGTGATTATTTCCTTATATTTATTGATGTTCTAGTAATGTCATTTGAAAATTCCATTCATACCCACTCCTTGGTGCTCCCTGCTCTCCTTCTACATGGGCCTGTTTTGTGTTCCTTGAACACACCAATCTCATTTGCATCATAGACTTTAATCTCCCCATCCCTATGCCTGGAATGCTCTTTGCTTGGATCCCCTCAAGGCTAGCTCTTTATCCGTCAGGTATCCACTTAACCAGTTTTCCTGATCATTCAACCTAAAATGACTTCTGAGACATTCACTATTTTACCTTTTTTTATAATTGCTCAGAACTAATAAATGGTATCTTCATATTTTTCTATACAGAGACTATTTGACACTTACAAACTGTCGTACATCCCTGCCCTGGGACAATTGCTGTTACTGTTTACAAAATTGCTCTTTCCTCAAGTCATCACATGGCTGGGTCTTTCTCATGGTTTAAGTTACAGCTCAAATTATCACCTCCCTAAGGAGGTCTTCCCTGACCATCCTGTCTAATGGACTGCCACCACCATTGTCACTCTGACACATATCTCATTTCATTTTCTTCATAGAACACTTCAATATTTGAAATTTTCTGATGTATTTACTTGCATGTTATCTCCCTCATCAAAATGAAAGCTCTAGAAGAGCAGATACTTTTCTTCACTGCTACTATGTACAACATCTAGAACAGTGTCTGGCATATAGTATACATTTGGTCGTTGTTACAGTTGACAAAATGAATTCAATTTGTCCTGATTAGGAACTATAAACTCATTTCAATATGTAGTCTCATTCAGCCTTCCATACTTTTTACCAGGGCTGTCAGTGTGTACTTTTCAGCTTGATGATTGAGGGCCTTGACAAGGAGTACAGAAGCAAAATTGGAAGTGAAGTAGCCCAAGCATGGTTCTATTCATTCTATGATTATTTTCTGTGCTCTCAGCATAATAGAAAAGTCTCTTTTCTGTCCACTCCAGCTTATTTTGGCGAGGGGTGGGCAAGGAGGTAGGGGGAAGTCTTGATCATTTTGGCAGTGCGCTTATTGGGCAGTGTCTCTTCTTATACTCCTTTTTGTTACCTGTTCCTCCTTTCAGTACATCCTGCTATAGGGAATTTGTTGGAGAACTTTCAATTTACCATCATTAGGTTAGCTCCTCTTTATTTCCACTTCTCTGAAACTGTAGAGAATCATGTTGTCAGAATTAATTTTTCAAAAAAGCTTTCCAACTTTCTTAACTTTGTTTCACGTCTTAGATATTTGCCTTTTTTCCTGAAGTTTTTTAAACCTGCCTACACCTGGAGTCTTGGGAACACATCTTGCAGTCCTTCCTTATACTGCAAGATAATATGGCTACTTTTTTTTGAAGTTTTTGTCTTCTGAAATGAATAATTCAAATATAGTAATGAAATGGAATAGTTATTTTGTACCTTAAAAAAATGGTTTAAGGTGGGACTTAGTTCATTCTTAATATGTGAATACTGATGTGAAAAATGTGGGGTCAAAATAGGGAAATATGTTTAATATAGCGTGTAACCCAGATAAGGGGAAGTTTTTCTTTTTTACAAATGTTTGTGAATTAGATGACTGAAACTATTATATGAGGAATAATTAGGTACTCCTTATTCTTCATACTGTACTCAAACCTTCTTCTGAGTATAGTATAATACAATGTATCAGTAAAGAGTATGCATTTTGGAACATATCTGGGTTTATGTACTACCCCCATCACTTACTAGGTGTATAGCTGTGTGGGTAATTTCTCTCAGCCTCATTTTCCTTACCTTATTTTATTTTTATTTTTTTAATTTACAAAAAAGGCATTTATTTGGCTCATAATTCTGGGATAGCTGCATCTGGCATGGGCCTCAGGCTGCTTCTACTCATGGCAGAAAGTGGCAGGGCGGCCCGCAGGTGCAAGCAGATCACGTGGCGAGAGTATCTTGATCTTTAAAATCAGGCAAATAAGATAACATAAGGATATTAAGAAAATTAATATCTTATTTAATGTTCACATTGTTCCTGGAACACAATAAACACTTCATCTGTTTAGCTATTGTTATTGTTTCACCTTTATATAAAGCTTACTTGAAAGGGTTTCCTTTTCTTTGCTACTGCAGCTTAAGATTCTGAACATACTACAAAATGATCTTCTTACAAAAAAGATTGTTTTATGGTTAAGCTTAAGTTTATTTTATGACTTGAAAAGCTGAAAAATCAAGTTTCAGAAAGTGGAATTTAATAATCATACTGTCTAATTTAATATAACTTTTTAAAAAGAAATGACCATATTTTAATTGATATTTTTTCAGGGGTAGTAAAACGAATCATTCCTGCAGTAGCTTCCACAAATGCAGTCATTGCAGGTGAGGAAAAAAGGCCACCACTTAGTTTTATTTTCTTTCCTTAGGTTTTTGATTCAATATCTAAATTGACATATCTGCGGCTACTTGTGCTCTAGGAATTTGGTATCTTCTTGGGTGGGTTGTGGAATTAAACTGTCCAGAAAAGAACAAGCTATTGGACCACGTATGTTTTCTGTCCGAAGTAAAGGGACATTTTAGTAGCATTTCTTTTTAATGAATATAACAGGCTGTTCAAGAATCAGATAAACAGGAAGAAAAACATGTAGTGTTACTCTATCATTTGAACCCAAAACAAATTTAAATTTTGTTACTTTCTCAGTTTTTAAAATGAGTTTATATTTTAAATCTATTTTTAATCAATAGCTATTTGTATGAAGTGTCTAATTTTCATTGAGTTTTAAAGCACCTTTATTCTCTCTCCTCTTCAGCCGTTTGTGCCACTGAGGTTTTTAAAATAGCCACAAGGTAATAGGTTTCATTTTTGATACGTACATAATTCCATGTTTTGATATGGCTCAGTTATATAAAAATGGACATTTTTTCATTACAGTGCTTACATTCCCCTTAATAATTACTTGGTATTCAATGATGTAGATGGGCTGTATACATACACATTTGAAGCAGAGAGAAAGGTTAGTAGTATTAAACTAATGAAAACATTTTTGATCATGCATACTTTGATTTTTTAATGTTAATTATTGGTTAGAAATTTGAACAAAGTTACCCACACCCTAAATATTTTATTTTCAAACTCTAAAACTCTACTTATTATATATCTTTTGTTGTATAGCATGAAATAAATACTGCATAGCAAAATAATTCAGAAGAAATTGTCTGTTATGAAAAGTAGGCTTTAAATCATAAAAAAATTTCATAGGAAATATGCATGATTACAAAACAACTTGATTTTCATTTCATTTTATAAATAGACTAGTATCAGTGCATGTGCCACTGTAATTTATTGTGTTCTATGTGTGTAGGAAAACTGCCCAGCTTGTAGCCAGCTTCCTCAAAATATTCAGTTTTCTCCATCAGCAAAACTACAGGAGGTTTTGGATTATCTAACCAATAGTGCTTCTCTGTAAGTGTTCTGGATTTTTGTATTAAAAATTATTTTTTGTGATTTTAGAACTTTAAAAACAAAAATTGTCTTTTTTTAAAAATGATGTTTAATATTTCTTTCTCATGATTATATTTAGGCAGATGAAATCTCCAGCCATCACTGCCACATTAGAGGGGAAGAATAGAACACTTTACTTACAGGTGATCAATGTTCATTTTTAATTTTTTTCAGAAAATTATATTAACAGTTTAATTTCACTTTAATGTACTTTACATTAAAATAATTTTGCGTTCTAGTCAGTAACCTCTATTGAAGAACGAACAAGACCAAATCTCTCCAAGACGTTGAAAGGTATTTTAGATGTGTATTTACTGACAGTTTGTTTTTTTTTTTGGTAAAAGTCATAAATGCTTGTTCTAGATTTGCTTTTAATGCCTTTATATATGATCAGATCAAACTACTTATGTCTTTAGAAATAATAATAGAATTGTTCTTTTAATAGAATATTTAAAAATCTTCAAAAACAAATATTACCTTGATTAAAGAGAACTTGATTTTGATGTTTAACTACACCATAAAACTGTATAGTTTGTTTATGTGTGTATTGTTATCCTTTTTGTTGAGATTTTTTTTGCTTGGCTTAATTATTCTTTTTCTATTTTAGAATTGGGACTTGTTGATGGACAAGAACTGGCAGTTGCTGATGTCACCACACCACAAACTGTTCTATTCAAACTTCATTTTACTTCTTAAGGAAAATAAATCTGCACATAATGGAAAACTCAAGGAAATAATATACTTCATGGATGCTAAGAAATTTAATTGATGTCATTTTTAGCATTAGTGTTGCTGGAATTTGACTTTTTTTATATAATGAACCACTCTTTTTTAACTTTATAACTTTCCCTTGACAAAATTTTGGGGTTGATGCTTGTAAGGTATTTTCATTAATAATTGGGGAAATGCTACCTGGAGAGAGAGATTTGAGCAAATGTATTGCTTCTTTTAGAGGGGGAGGCAAACTGTCTTGTGTGTGAATTTTGTTATTATGATCAAAGAACACATTCCTCAGCCTTTATTTGAGCACCCACTTATTCAAAAGATGTCCCTTAAAAAAATATAAGGAATTAGGTTTTATATAACATTAAATATTACCACCAGACATCTAGAATATATTGAACATAGGCTGTTTCTTGGTTTAATATTCATTTAATTGTGGCTATCCAAGTGAATATTGATTATTGGGGAATTTATCTTGTCCATAATAATTTGTAAATGATGTTATAGCTGAATACCTGTGCATGAAAATGGGAAATATTTTTATGTGTTTATTTGCAGTATCATAGAAGCCAATATGCACAATATTAAAGCCAAGACATGGCTGTTTAATGTTTAAACAGTTATCACTGATGCTTTCTCACTCTTTATTAATAAAATCATATATTGTCAAAAAAAAAAAATAATGTTTAAACAGTTATCACTGATGCTTTCTCACTCTTTATTAATAAAATCATATATTGTCTACTTTTTTTACTGAAATTTTTTAAAGTATATTAAGGATAGTAAGTAGTTCCATAGTAATGTAGAAATAATTTAAAAATGTGTAGCAGAATTATTGACACCAAATTTTTATTGCACTTAAATTAATACTTTCGCTACAGTCATTTCCACAGTAAAGATCTACTGGTTTAATTTGACTTTCTCTAACATAGTAATGTAATGAAATGGAAAAACTATGTTTTTATTTGAAGGTCTCTTAAAATGCCTTTGTTTCTTCTAAAAACCTAAGACATAAAGCAAAATTAAGCACAAGTACTAAAACACTAGGTTCTTAATGTGGGAATATGTAGTACAACGTGTTCTCATTCTTTGTTTCTGACTTAGATTGGCAGTTTTCTGTTCAAAAGCTTTGTGGTTATGTGTCACTGGATTAAGTTTTCATTTATTATTATTCTTTCTGGCTCCATATTGACAAGTAATTTAAGTTTTCATTGTAAAACCATATAGGATAAATTTATGTGCTTTACCTAAAAAGTTACAGATTCAGCCTAAGTTTTTGAAAGTGAAGAAACTAACATTTAGCACCTCCTCTATACAAGTGCTATAACAATTCTCAAAGTAGAGTTTTGGGAAGGAGACAGTATCACTAGTTGAGAGCTGAATAAATAGTTTTAGAATGTTTAGGTTATTTACCAAAAGCTATACAATTAGAACAGGGATTCCAATTGTAATCTGCCCAGATCTCTTCCTAAGATTACTTTGCTGAAATGTCTGAAAGTACTTGTTATTTAGTACTAGTTGTGTAAATTACTAAATTGTAAGAGTTTTAACGTGCAGATTTTTATTGTAGTTAGATAAAATTATTGGAAGATAATCATAATGTCTTAAGAGCAGGTTTTTAATCCGATTTTTAAAAAGAAAAAAATTGCTTTATGGCATAGTTTTTGCAGTGGGGTAAAATACTCAAATATGGGGGGCAGGCAGTTAAGGTAAATAACCACAGCAGGGAGGGTATAATAATATGAATGGTGGGGTCTGTGGCAAACTGGAGTGAGTGAAAATTATTTATCAAAGGGGGTGAATTTCATTCTGATGCTTTCAGATGGAAAAAGGGGGGGACAACTCCAGCTGACTGTTCCCTTGTTGGTATTCACATTTTTCAAATGCAGCTGGAAATCTGGATTTTTGTATAAAATCTGGCTTTTAAATGTTGGTGCAAATTTATCTTTAACATTATTGGGTCGTGGAACCGAACATAGTTAACTTGATTAGGAAAGCCACCATTTTAAGATTTCTTTCTGTGGCCAAATGTTTAGAGAGTGCACTCAAAAGTAATATGCACAGTGCACTCTGATAGGGTAATACTTTTAGTGCTTCCTCGGTGTTTTAGTCTATTCGGACTGCTATAACAAATTAGCATAAATTGGATGGCTTATAAACAACAAATTTATTTCTTGCAGTTCTAGAAGCTATGAAGTCTGAGATCAGGGTACCAGCAGATTCTGTGTCTGATGAAGGCTGCTCTTCTAGTTCATAGCTGGCGCCATCTTACTGTGTCTTAAAATGATGAAAGGGACAAACAGGCATTGTTGGGCATCTTATATAAGGGCGCTAATTCCATTCATGAGGATTCCACTCTCATGATCTAATCACCTCCTAAAGGCCCCACTTATAGGAGGGTACTTCAGAAAGTTCATGGAAGGATAGAATTAAAAGATAATAGGAGGGGCTGTCCAGTTTACTCAGGTGAAAGAGCTTGGCGCTGACACCACCAAGGTCAAGGGTTCCCATTCCCCTATTGGCCTGCTGCCAATAATAATAATACAAAATTTTCCGTGCACTTTTTGAAGACCCCTTGTCCTGGAGGTTAGGTTTCAACATACGAATTTTGGGAGGAAACAAATATTCTCAACATACGAATTTGGGGAGGAAACAAATTTTCAGACCATAGTACTAGGTTTGACTGGCGCGATGAGTGTACCGGTTTTGTGAAGGGGAGATTGTGCCTTCTGCACCACGTGTTCCAGAGTTTAGGCACAATGTCCATAGGCGGTCCGTTGTCTTTGAGGCAAGCCCAAACGAAGGGCTTCTCCTTAAGGCCAGGTTTAACACAGAACTGATTAAATATTTGAGACAAAGTGCCAAAAGAAATTCGAGACCCAAACTTAAGCTTTGTTTGCAATTATTGCTGACAACTGGCTAGCTCTTAGCATGTGACCTACAGACGGCCCAACATACGATGGTTCTACTTGTGATTTTTAGAAGAGCTCATAAGAGCTTATGGGGTTACAGTTTCCACTGAATGCGTATCAATTCCGCACCACCTAAAGTCGAACCATGGTATGTCGGGGACCATCTGCTGTGTTGCTAGCATTAAATGCATTTTCGGCTTACGATAGTTTCGAAACGTTTTTTTCGACTTATGATGTGTTTATCCGAGCGTGACCCCATTGTAACTCGTGGAGCATAGGTATTTTCTGGGAAAGAGCCCACATGAAAACTCCCTAATTCCTCTGTTGGTAGCCAGAGTATCCCTTAGGTGAGAACTATAAGCCGTGAATCCATCAACAGAAACTTCCGCGTTTCTTGGTAACTAAGTAACCCTGGGCTCCCGGATGTGACGTCAGTGTTTGTCTCCTGTTCCTCTTGTGGACGGAACTCTGGGCTCCCGGATTTGGTTGGTGTGTACGTGGAAGAAGCCAGCGCATGCGTACGCGGGGCCCTTCCTCAGCTGAGGTGGCAGAGCCGGGGGTAACATCCCGGGCTCGGGGGAGACTGTCCGGGTCATGGCCACCCGCTGACAGGATCTACCGAGTGGAGAAGGACGGCAAGGCCGTTCCACTGCACCCTTCCCCGGGCCTGAGGCCGGTCGGCCAGGCCTTTGGCCTTCCCGCTTGGTGCTGCCGCCGCCACTGCCGGCTGAGGAGGGACGATGAGTTGGTTCAACGCCTCCCAGCTCTCCAGCTTCGCCAAGCAGGCCCTGTCCCAGGCCCAGAAGTCTATCGACAGGGTGCTGGACATCCAGGAAGAGGAGCCCAGCGCCTGGGCCGAGACCATTCCGTACGGAGAGCCAGGTAAGGGAGAGGAACGGGGCTCCTGGGCTCCCGGTGTTCTGAACCAAACAGGTTAAGTGATGTAGAGAGGGATCCTGCCTCGCTGAGAGGGTTCTCAGCAAGGAATTTCTCCTCGGCCTCTTCTCAAACGCTGCTTTAGTCTCCAAGTCGATTTTTGATGTTTTCCTGAGGGAAAATCCAAGCACAAGCTTCCGGAACGTCTTATTGCTGAGCACCTCGGGCATTGTTTGGATCCAAGTTCTGAAGGGTGTAAATCAACAGGGACGAGAACAATCGCCAACATTTAGAGAGCACTTAGTGCTCGGTAGTGCGTAATGTGCCTTTTTTTTTTTTTTAAATGGCTTTCTCATCTTTAACAACTCCTCGGGTTAAATTGGTTCGTATTCATGTTTTACGGAAGAGGAAAATGAGGCTCAAAATGGCTAAGTAAATTGATCTAGGACACACAGCGGGGGAGGGCAGGATATGCTGGCGGTCTTTACCTGTAGAGTCTGTGGCCCAAGGTTTTTGAATCGTATCACATTTTATTTCTGAGTAGCTAAGTGTCTGGCAGATTCGTTGGTCCTGATCTTTTCAGGACTCTTCAGCTACTTTTGTCTCTTAAGTCTAAGGAACAGTTTAGCATTTTGATGCGTGGGGTAAAGATTTGCAGGTTTTGGGGGTGTGAACCTTTGTGTGGAAAACAATGTTATTTTTGACTACTCCTTTCTGGTATCTATTTTTAATTTTACATAGTTGAAAAGTTGGGACCTAAATCTGAGGCGCCTCATTTTAAGATATTTTGGTCCATATGTGTAAATCATGACTTTACTACTTTTTGTAAGACGTTAGTTATATAACTTGCTGGAGTAGCTCAACTTACTTGCTTTTATATACCTTACATTTTGAATTACTAGACTTTAGAGGAGATAGAATATATTTTAAATGTAAGGACACTTATTTTCTGAGATCTGGGGCTTGAATTGTGCTGTATAATTTATTTTTATAAACGAGTTGTCCAGAATAGGCTCAAGATTTAGTGAAATGCCATAAATGTTTATTCATCACCTACTATGTTATAGATGACAAAAAAAAAAATGACCATAGTCTTCAGAAGGGAGTAATTTAAATGAACGTCAGATAACCCGGGGATTGCTTAAACCATTCTCCAAGAGACAAATTTAATTCCTGTCATTTATTAAGATGATAGATTAATCAGTAGACCTAGTTTTGCTTGTTCCTTTGCATCTTTAATTTTGGTTTTCTCTGTTTTACATTGTTTTTATATATTGCGCAAATGGATGCAAAACTGTCTCCAAACTGAAGTTTCCTCCTACGTACTTTTATCATCCTAATTGCCTTTGAAGTCATATTGAAGGATAGACTTTACTATAGGGCTTGATAGTTTTTGGAGCTTTTATTTGATTGTGCTGTCTCCACCAACATCTAATTGTGCAAGATTTGTGATATTTCTGCTTGGCAACTTTTTAATTTAGAAAAGGAAGAAAAAATTTTGAAAGAAATGCTTTAAATATTTTAGCAAATATGCCCTTTTTTATTATAGGTTTTTTAGTAGTAACTATTTCTGTGACCAATATGATAATTACCTTTTTCCCCGTAATGTTTAAAAAAAAATTCTAGTGTCGTTGTCTACCTTCTATATCAAAAAGCAATAGTTCTAAAAAAATGTACATTTCTGAAATTCATAATGACCTAATTTCTGACGTAATTTGGAATTTGGAAAGAGAACAAAACTTTTTCTTAGAGTGGGTTTGGAGAGTGGGACTTGGAGAATAGGCTTGTCATTAAGTGGATGAAAATGAATTTGTTCTCTAGAACTTATTGTTCCCATCAGTTTAACTTGATCTTTGGAAAAGAACATTTTTCACCAGTATCTCGGGTTCATTTTTTGAGTGTCTAGCTCATATCTATGTTTTATTATTATTATTACAAGAATAAAATTAACATGAAACTGACTGAATAGGTAGGGTCATTTTGCCATAACTGCACATAACCTGTAAGTAAGGATACTGC